CTGCATAAATGCATAAAGACGAAATATCGAAGCGCGTAAGCGCCGCGTCGCCGTCTAACGGATAAACATTGGAACGGAACCCATAGGAATGTAAACAAAATTTATACTTATTGTTAAAATCTCTATAAAATATCTAATAATTTTATGTACATATGTTTAATGATTATTTTTGCCAAATGCCATTTTTTTTTACTTTTTTTACTTTTTTTACTAGATCTCCGAAACCGCTAGACCCGCCTTTATGAAAATTTGATCAGTTCTTCATTTTGTTAATACAAGTAAAATGTTTTTTGAATTATTCAAATCGGACGTTCCGTTCTCTTAAAAACTGAGTTACCGTTTCTGGCACTTTTTGTTCCATATCTTCGGAACGGCTAGACCTGCCTTGGCCAAAAACTAATCACCACGTCTACTTATCAATATTAATCGAATGTTTTTTGAATTATTCAAATCGCTTCATCCGTGTTCTCGAAATCGTCGACGAAAATTTGTATCCGCACACACATACATACACACACATACATACACACACGCACAAACACACATACACACACATACATCCATTTTTTCTAACAATAAGGTATGCCAAAATGTTCAGAAGGTTTGAAACGTAAAGATTTATAAAAATTTTCATTTTCGATTTTTTGCGATTTCTATAACTTGCCCTACGGGAAGTTAATTTGTGAATGAACAATCATTTATTTACGCTGTCAACACAAGCAAAATGTTTGAATGAATGATTTTGAATCATAAAAAAATGTTAGGTTTCACAAAGCGCTTCGTATGACGTCCGCTTTTCATGACGTGTTTGTAAATTCCTTTTGATGTCATCATAAACGGATTCAACTTCATATATATTAATTATGTGATATTTAATTTTTTTTTTTTACTTTCAGTATTCCTTTATCCTGCCTCCAAGCGAACACATAACCAACGGTCGAACGCCCAATGGCAGCCCAGTCAACGGCAACACTGTCCATGGAGAACTCTGCAAACATCTGCCAACTCTTCTAAATCCTGCCAACACGGACTTCCTACTGGTCAACAAATTCATGCTACATTCGGGATTATTTTTCGAAGTCATAATAAAAAGCATGGCTCAACATCTTCTAACGAGCGCAGGATAAAAATGCACAGGAACGAACGTTTTCCACCGGAGTTCCAATTGAAATTGGAGGCTTGGTTGTGGTACTTGTTCCTTATTTGGTGTCGAGGTATAAGGATATGCCTGTGGAAACTCATCAGTTGAATAAGAGCTTGGCTAGCTTTTTGAAGGTAAGGTATACTTAATTATACAACTTATGGGGCAATCAGAGCTCATAAAATAGCGTTGCCATCTTATGCTTATGAACAAACAAGTAAGCATCATCGAAGATTCTGTTATCAAACATGCCGCCGTACTTGTTTTTTTGTAAAATACGCCTGATCGCACGTCAAATAGATAGAGGATTATAAAAGTAACCAAGGAACTTGAATTTTAGCTACTTAAATTTTATTATTAATAGACAAAAAA